CCCCAAAAATCTTTGTCTTCAAAATAAAGGCTGCGTCTTATACACCGGTGCGTCTTATATTCCGAAAAGTACAGTCTTCATATTCGCTTTATAGGAAGTATCGATCACAAAATTTGAGCAATGTACGGATCATTCTACCTATTAAATTATTATTATTAAATTCATTGCGCGTATTTATTTAACTTTCGATTGGTTTTAATGATTTTGCCTGTTTGTTTCAGAAACCCAAGAGAGTAACGTAGAAATGTATTTAATTTGATTCAGAGACTATGGTAAAGGTTGAACTACTTTCTCTGGTAACGAGAATATCACACGTAATAACACTGGATCAAATGTAAAAATGTCTGTATTGTAATTACCAGAGAAGCTGCCCCCCAGTGGCACAGCGGTATGTCTGCGGACTTACAACGCTAGAAACCGGGTTTCGACACCCGCGGTGGGCAGAGCACAGATAGCCCTTGTGTAGCTTTGTGCATAACTAAAAACAAACAAACAAACCAGAGAAGCTAGGGGTTTGACTAGTTTCAGTTGGTATGTGTTCATTGGTTGTGATACGTAGAACATGGTAAAGCAATGGGAACATCTAACCACCAAATAACTAGGCAGCCTGAAAAACGAGTAGTTTTGGTATAAGAAGTTTTCTTTGTTAGGGATGTCAAACTTCAACAAAAACCGTTGTTGTAGTTTATAAAGTAGCTTGTAGTTAATTATAGTATTCTCGTCTTTCTCAGTGCACGTGAAAATGTGTTTACAATATACAATAAGTGAAATTGATCACAGTTCAAATCTATCATACTGTTTTCAAAATACTTGAGTTGACGCCACCAATACGTCTTTGTCTGTTGTAAACATACACGTACCTCGAATCTCACCTGGGTTACTGAATTTCTGGTATTTAAAAGAATATCATAACAGTTTGAAGTTATTAATATTGAGCAATCCAGTACTGTAAAAATATACTGGCGAAAAATACTTAGACTTTAAACTTTTTTCCAGAAATAATAATATCAATATGTTATAGCTTTTGAGACAAACAAACAGCGTAAAAACAGGTAATTTTGTTTATTTTTCTTCACGAACACTTTCTGAAGTCAATCCTTACCATTTAAGATTCTTAGCGTGTAAAATGCTTTAAATTAAATTAGATTTTTAACATTTTTGAGAAAAAAATTAAAAACAAATTCCGCCTCATTTTCAAAGATTTATTTTCAATACACTCACCATTTTGATTTAAAATATTATTGTATGAAAGTTACATTTTTTTTTCAATTCTACGTGGAATATATAAATAAAATGAACAATTTCGCATATGTAAAAAATTACCTTTCAATCAAAACAAATCAATCCCCTCCAGTGGTTGCGTAATTGTTCTGGATCCGGTATACAAGTTGTCTTTTGTAATACATTCTCAAACTTGACTTTAATGACTGGAAAACTTTTTAATTACACTCTTCTTGTTGTTTGTAAAGCCTATACTATAAAAATAAAAAAGGTCACAACACAAACACAGGAGCTACGATGATAACAAAGTAATGAAATGATGGATGTTTAGAAGACGTTCGCTTAGCGTGTTGCTACCCGTATGTAATGTACGCGGTTTGGTGCAACAACTTTGCAAGTAGCAACTTCCTAAAAGCCTTAAGGCACAAAACAGTTTATACTCCTGGCTTAATTCAATCGATAAAGCGTAAGGGATTTTTTGAAACAGGAGCATCAGCCCATTTCACAAATCGCCACGGTTGCATTCTCTCTTTCTTACGTGCACACAACCTGGAACACCGCGTGAATAACAAGTATGTTAAGCAAAATTACACATGTTCGTCTTCCTCTGCCACCTAGTGGAATAGTCTTGAGTTACCAAATTATTTCGTGGTGGTGACCTGAGGCAATATTTTCCGTTTCTTTTTATAAAATACACATGGAACGATTTTCATTTGAATCAGAAAACTTCAAATAAAAAAAGCTTCTAAAGTGTGTAATATACATACTCGCTCTGAGCAGGCCCGGCATGGCCAGGTGGTTAGGGCACTCGACTCGCAATCTGTGGGTCGTGGGTTCGAATCCCCGTCACACCAAACATGCTCGCCCTTTCAGCCGTGGAGGCGTTATAATGTTACGGTCAATCCCACTATTTGTTGGTAAAAGAGTAACCCAAGAGTTGGCGGTAGGTGGTGATGACTAGCTGCCTTCCCTCTATTCTTTCATTGCAAAATTAGGGACGGCTAGGACAGATAGCCCTCGTGTAGCTTTGCGCGAAATTCAAAAACAAACAAACTATTTTATACAGATACAGAGCGTATATCACTTTCTGATAAAGAGCTAAAATTATACAAAATAAACAGTATCATTAAATTTAAGTCTTTGTTCCTTCTTTCGAATATACTTCTTTATTATCTTGAATTTCCTTTTACTTATACAAAATATCACTTTAAATGAAGTTTTTTGGGACTAAATACATCATAGTATGAGATCAACAAAATGAATTTTATTTAGTCAGCTAAATTGAGTTTCAAGTATTGCACAAACCAGATATATATATATATTTATGTAGCATGAACTGGAAATATACAAAATATTAGCACCACAGTACACCAAAATGTGACTTAAGTTTTTTAAATTTCTAAAAACGTTTTTTCTTCGAGGATCTCCGGGTTTGTAACACTAAAAATCCAGGTTCGATTCTCGCGGTGAGCATAGCACAGATACCCCATAATGTATTTTTGCGTTTAACAACAAAACAAACTTGCCTTCGAGAGGAGAAAATGCCTTTTATCAAACGCGTTTAGCTTAGCAGATAACCCTCGTGTAGCTTTGCTCGAAATTCGTAACAAACCTTAGCAATAAACTAAGATTTTACACTAACCACAGTAAACTATGGGTTCAGAATACTCTTCATAAACTAAGGTTTAACAGTGACTGCAGTAAAACTAAACAACGTAAACTATGATTTCCCAATAAACTATGACCTTACACAAACAACAGTTAATTATAAATTTATAGGAATTACAACTTATTACGATTTTACAATAGTATTTTCCCTGCTTTTTGTAGTTATTTTTTAATAATGCACTTTCAAGAAATTTCTCCTTGGAGGCCCGGCATGGCCAGGTGGTTAGGGCGCTCGACTCGCAATCTGCGGGTTGCGGGTTCGAATCCCCGTCCCACCAAACATGCTCGCCCTTTCAGCCATGGGGGCGTTATAACGTCACGGTCAATCCCACTATTCGTTGGTAAAAGAGTAGCCCAAGAGTTGGCGGTGGGTGGTGATGACTAGTTGCCTTCCCTCTACTCTTACACTGCTAAATTAGGGACGGCTAGCGCAGATGGCTCTCGTGTAGCTTTGCGCGAAATAAAACAAAAACAAAACAAACAAAAACTCTTGTTGGATCTACTTCCTTTGTCGTCGATCGTGTTCATTCTGATGATCATGATTACGCACTATTGTCTGACAACGCAATTCCCATTGTAACAACCTTCTACAAAAGATGGTAAGGTAAGTCTTATGCTACACTCCTTGACAAACATTCCACAGACTCTCCGATGCACGTGTACCGTGGCTTTCAAGACATTTAAGCAAAGAAAAGACATAACATTTCTTTAGAACTGCATCGGAAAACTTGAAATGTATTTGATCAATAAGATGGCTCTGATTTCAGTTTGTTTGTTTTTTGTATTTCTTGTTTACATTTCTCACGAAAACAGCCGTTGTTGCTGGAATCTTAGAAAACTTTGTGTCAATTGCAGATTGTCGTAACAGTAGATTTTTTTAAGTCAGAGGGTTCTCTTTCGTAACCCTTGTGTTCATTATGCAGATTATGGCGTTATTCTAGATTAACCTGAGTTCGTTTACGGAGCCAGTGCTGTCATAAACATGCTAATTAAAACACCTTTGGCACCTCAGTCACATGTGCGGCGACACACGACTGCATTCAAATTTGCAAACTTTTCTTATATATATATATATATATATAT